GGCTTCCAGGGATCAGAAACGCTCGCCCTCTCAAGGGAACAGCTGCTACCAGACCAGGGGAAGTGCCAGTCTCCCTGCAAAACCTTTTCTGTCTGGGTCCTGGCTGCACGGAAATGGAACTGCCCAACGTGTAGACGATCTGTGGCTACGTGAGGGTGCGCGAGCAACTCTGGCTAGGGGCAGGGACCCAGGCACCCTGCAAAATCCTTTAAAAATGGAAATCAGATCAAAATGTGCCCATCATAGTCTCTGTGTTAAACAGCTTTTGCCTCGACATCTTCAGACAATCCCTGGGTGCTAATTTTTGTTCCTTTACCAAATAAGCTGGCTGGAACAGTAATTTTTAAATGTATCGCTGCATTGCCATATTGGAAATACAGTATGCTTGATGCTTCTATTCCTTACAACAGCACAACAATCCTCAAACTCCGCTTGGCTCCAATGTAGGAAAAGCAAAGATTTGCAAGAGAAATAATATGGATTTTTTCCCAAACTGGCAAGCACCACCCCACTTATTCTGGAATGTTTAAACAGTTATAGCAAGAATCCCCAACATTCCCATGAGTGGGAACAACGCCTATCCAAGCTCCACAGAGCTGAGCAGAGGCTAGGCAAGAGTCGCAGAGCAGAAAGATCGGCGTTTGGTACGTGCCGAATTGTGCTCTTCGAGTACCTGTTTGTGCACCAAGAAAGCTGAAATCATTTGAGCCAGAAGGCCCCCATTTCGACTCTAGAGCAAGCAACTCATCAATAAAAATATGAGGTCTTTGGAGATGCCCCTTCTTTACGCCTGACCTCACTTAATACAGGGAATATTAAAAATGAAAACATTTGGGAAAAACTTCTCCATTCTTCTTCCATGCTCCAAACCACAGTTTAAAAATGTATATACACATTTGAGCATCGATTTGTGTTTGTGCACAGATGTGTCTATAATTCTGCCATTCTGTGATGGATGCATCCTGCACCTGATCTCCCGCAAGGCTCCCCCAGCATGGAACCAGCAAATTACGTCCACACTCTGTATTCCAGGCTGGCATCAAACACCGGGGAATACTGACCAGGGAAAGCGGGGCCATGCTGGGATCAGGCATGGGCCCTGGCTCTGTCCGCCTGAGGGCCGTCTCCATGGCACTTTCCCTGGGGGGAATTTCTGAACAGGAACTTTAAAATTCAGTGGCAGTTTTGTGCAGGAATTCCCAACAGGAATTTGAGAATTAAGTTGCGGCAGTGTTCGGAGACCGGGCTGCAATTGGTGCCCCCGAGGAGTGACTCCGTTTGAATTCTACTGGGACCGTTTTTAAAAGCACCTTGGAGTGCGTGCGCACCAGCAACTGCCTCCGTTCTTCCAGCTGCGCTTTCCTGCTTTTCTTTGCAGGGATCGTGAGACATGCAAACCAGCCAGAAGTGTTTCAAATCTGGGCTGGCCTTGGACAATTGCCGCCTGAGGTGGGGGCGGCTCCGTGCTTGGCTGGCTCTGCTTTGCAAGCGGTTTTCCCACCCATTCAAATAGGGAGATTCACGTTTTGCATTGCAAAAATGCGCATTCCCTCCCATTTACTAAATCAAGACAATGTTGACAAATGCCTGTTTTAAAGTGCGTACTTTTCAAACACAATTATGAATCTGGAAACATACAAGCGGTTTTTGCCAAGGGTTTGAAATGGGACAAGCCCTGACAAACTGAGAACAGAAATTGCATTCTTGTGTATCACTGCGCGCGGCAACAGAACCAAAACCTCCTTTTTCTTGCAAGCTATTCTGTGTTTGCAGCCCCCGACATGTAACAAAATAAAGACCGATTCCTACCCCCCCATCTCCACACGCACGCACGCACGCACACACACACACACACAGAGAATTTTGGCATCTGAGGAATGGCAAGAGGGTTCCCTTGAGATACAGGACACCATTCTTTAACACAAAGCTTTCTGAGTGCCCTGATTAATTCATATCTATATATATTTATATTCTATACTATATATAATGATATGTTTATCTATGTAATATATACCTATATAGACAGACAATTTCCTGGTAAACGTTTACGAGATATGCTTTGCGACATTGAAAAAAGTATGTCTTGGTTTGCATAATGCTTTACGCGCACAGCCGTCAGGACACACATGGACAGAATAAATAAATACATGTAAATAAATAGCATTTTCTTTGCCTTCAAAAGTGTCGTCTTGCCCAAACACACGGAAAACAAATGGCCAAAATATGCTGTCTGACAGCACAGAAAGCAGGGCTCTCCTGTTGGTATTTCAAACGAAGCAAAACAAAACCCAGAGATTTCAGAAATATCAAAGGGTATGAGAGGCGCACGGTGGCATTTTGTGCAGGGCATCTCCACCGACCTCGGGGAGGCCGAGGGCCCTTCCTTGCCTCAGCGCTGCTCCCCACTGCCTCGTCTCCAGCATCAGTGAGCAGTTCCCATCCCCAGTCGATCCCGCTGGAGGCACATCCTAAACACTTGCAGCCTCTTTTGGGGTGGGGAGGGGCTGTCCCACTTCATCCTCAGACCCACCCTGCGAGGAAGGCTGAATGGAGAACAAGAGCGTGGCCCCAGGGCCCCACAGCCGATCGGGGGATGTAGGCAAGTCCACGTCCCACCCCCTGTTCACAGCACCACACGCCGAGACCCGGCACTGCCTTCCCCTGTTCTGTTTGGCACGGGCCTGGCCTCATCCAGAAGAGGACGGACAGCTGGCTTAGCTCCCTGCCAGGCGCTTCCGAGGCGGCACAGTTCGTGTTCAAGGGCGGGCTGCCAGCTCAGGCGTGTGCTTTCAGGAATTGAGAGCGCTGACCTGCCGGCACCCGAAATTTCTGAAGGCAGAGCACAATTGAAGCGCACAAGCCCACAGAGCCACCGAAAAAATCCTTCGGCGGTGAACCCGTCCCGGAAATCCCAGCCTGACCTGCCATCTCCCAGCAAAGGCTCTTGGGGAAAGGCAAATCGACTTGAAACTAAGGAGAGCTTTGCAAAAATTTGCCTTCCGTAAGGGGATCCAAGGGCAAAGGGGCTTGTCCAGGGCAGGAGGTGCTTGTGCTTTTATCTCAGAGGAATTCAGCTTGTGCCTGTGACCCTCTTCGTTTTTGTAGGGACAGAAGTGGAGGTGGGGCGTCCCACCCGGAGAATGCGATGGAGTCCCGCCAGCCACTGGCTGCAGACTCCCGTGAGGGCCAACGTGAGCCCGGCCTTCCACCCGAGGCTGCGGCCCTGCGGCGCTTGTGCTTCTCGGTGACAGAGACCAAATGGGGGAAAGCGCCTGGGAGACCAGTTTCCTCCCGGAATTAAAATTCTGAAGCTTTCCCAGGAGGAATAGAGTCCAACCGGGGGGGGGGGGGGATCCCCCCCCCCGCTCTTTGGGGGTGACAGCCAAGAATCCTCAGCGTTGCAGATTGGTTCTCAAGAAGGCCGGCATGTTCCGGAGGCCACACTTCTTGGCTCCGTAAACAAGGCCAGGAATATTCCCAGACCCCCCCCCCCCCGCACATGCACCTACCTCGCGAAAGCCCAGAGAACAGGGGGACCATTAAAGGGTCTTCGCTTTGGAAGGGGTCCCCTTTGGCTGCTCCACCCTCAAAGAATAGGAAGATTTTGGTGTGGAAGCAAGAATCCAAGTGGGAAAACAAGGGTCCCACGATGTGGTTAAGAGACGAGTCCCTTTTAAAGGGGAGGGAGCTGCAGTGAGTGCTTTCTGGCCACCCGGAAGCCAGTTTCATGTTAAAAACTAGGCACCGACTTAGCCATGATCACGACCTTCTGATCAGGCAGCAAAGCTTGGTTTATCTCGCTGCTTCTCTCTCCCCCTCCTTTGTAAGAACACCTGAGTTTAAAAAAAAAAGCAAAGCAAAGCAATTCCGATACCACTGAGGGCCCCCACACAGCAAAGGGCCACGCCGGCCGAGCAGGCCACAGAATTACTGCCGACTGCTGTGCCGTGGCTTTACATTCACCTGATGGGGGCTCGGGCGCTTCCTAGAGGGCAGGGGAAATGCCGATATGCCCCAGGGAAGGAAGAAGCTAAGAAAAGCGGGAGACGGAGGGGCCTGCCCGGTTCCTCAGGGAAGCAGCGTCACCGTGGCCAAGTCCAAGGAAGAAGCGAGCGACGCAGAGCAGGGCAGGAGGAGAGACTGGCTGCGAGAGCCACGGGGCCCCTGGGGCCACGACACGGTCCAGGCCCTCGACACTCAGGTGTGGCTTCTGAACCTCGGACGGAAGCGAAAGGCTCAGAGCCACTGCAGAGGAGGCGTGCAGCCAGGGAAGAGGCCAAGTCGGGCCATCCCGAGGGGAGGCGAGCGACCCGGCGAGCGCCCTGGGGCAGGCCAGCCCAGCTCTCCCCTTCTGTGCAGCTTCGGAAGGAGCCGCGGGGCGGCCACCCCGGAGAAAGGGCTCGGAGCCGCGGGGAAGGCGTGAGGCGGAGAGCGGGAAAGCTCGGCCGCAAAGGCGGCCCGCCAGCCCCCAAGGAAGTCGCCACCGGCGGAAAGAGGGAGCGAGGCTTCCCAGGAAGAGGCTGCGCTCGCCCGCCTCGCTCTCCCGGGAAAGGTCCAGGAGGCCAGCCCTGCATCCGTGCGGGAGCAAGACGGAGACCTGAACTTTTGGGAGGTGACGGGGGAGGAGGGGGAGGAGGAGGGGCTGGGCTGGGCTGGGCTGGGCTGGGCTGGGCAGGGTTCCCCTTCCCCCCGAAAGATAAAGGAAGATCTGAGAGGAGGGAGGAAAAGCCGGTGCCGGGCCCCAGCGGCCCCTCAAAGTCACCCTCCTCCTGTCCAATGGGAAGCAGCAGTTCCTCAAACCTGCCCTGGCCGCAGGGGCTCCCCCCGCCCCCCCCCCACACAAGATTTGCGCCCGGTCAGCGGCAGGAGCCGAAATCTTTGGTTAGTCGCCACGGCAGGAGCGGCGCAGGGGCGGGGGCCAGGCGCTCCCCATGCAAACCGGTGCACGGCCCCCGAGGGAGTCGCTCGCGCGGGTCTCCCTCACGCAGACGCTGCCGTGCCGTTCGCAGCCCCGCAACGAGCCGGGGCGGCCCCGCTCCGCTCCCTCCTCGATGGCGGGGGCTCCAGAGTCACTTGTTCTCAATCAGCGTCTGGACTTTGTACACGAGGTCACGCGCCAGGGTCAGGATCTGCTTGGTGTTGTGCCGCTCGGCCATTTCTAGGAGAGGGGAAGGGGAGGAGAGCGCCAGAGAGGGGGTGAGCGGGTCCCCAGAAGTGAGTCGCACACTCCCCCCCTCCGCCCGCTCAGGCACCTCCGTGGCAAGCAGCCTGCGGGGCACAGAGACCCTCGCCACCCCCGGCTGCGCTCTGCAGCCGCGGAGCCTCCTCCAGCCAAGGGCCAAACGCCACTGCAGAGCAGTGGGCCAGGGCGGCGTCCCGCGGGGGGCAGCTCGGGGGTGAGGCGGCTGGGCCAGAACACCGAGGGGGCCGGCGCAGGTCAGCGTGAGGGCCCACAGCCAAGGCCGGGAAGCCACTGACCGGCAGCCGGAACGAGTGCCCCAACGGCCCGGGGAGAGCGGCACCCGGCCCCGAGGCCTGGCGTTTCGTGCCTCCGAATGTGAAAGGCTGGGCAGCAGCCGGGGGGAGCGGCCTCCAAGGCCTGAGAGAGCAGCTGCCTGCCCGAGCGGGCCCTCTAGAGGCTGAGATGGAGCGGGGCCCGCCTCGGCCCCCGGGGCCCTATGCGGCACGTCCCCTGCGCTGCTCCCTCGGGCACAAACGCGGCAGAGAGAGCCGGCACCAGCACCCGGGCGGGACGACCTGGCACCCCCGGGGCCGGCCGACGGCAAGGAAGGCGGCCCGGCCAGGCTTGGGGGGTCGGCCCGGGGCCGGCCACGCTCCGTACCATTGAAGAACTTGATGATGTCGGTGAAGTCCATGTTGTTCTCCAGGATGATGTCCCGATAGACCTCCACCAGGGCGAGCGCGAAGAAGAGGACGAAGTGCGACGAGGAGATCCGAGCCGCGGCCCAGATGGTCTCCCAGACAGCAAAGACGTCGTCGTACACGAGTTCTGTCGGGAAGCCGTGCGAGGGAGCCGGCCTGAGGCGGGGAAGCCAGGGCGGCGGGGGACGGGCCCACGGCCTCCTCGGTGCCCCCCGGGTTCCCCGCAGGGCAGCGCACGGGACCAGCGGGCCCCCCGGGAGCGCCGAGGACCAGTCCGCAGCCCCCTGGGGTGACTGGCAGTCCAGCCCCGCCCCCCATTCCCAGCCGGTATGGACAGTGCCCAGCCGGAGCAGCAGGGGCGCTGGGAAACCGAGGCAAGCCTGGATCTCAGGGGCACAGGCCCGCCTTGCAACATACCTCGCTTGAAATCCAAGAGGAACCAGCGGTAGCAGAAGTAGAAATGCGTGTAGTCGCCATTCTGGTGCATCAGCTCAAACATCTCCGAGTCCAAAATCTGCCAGAGATGCAAAAGCCTTCAGAATCGCGCTTCTGCGAGAAAACCGGGCCTGCCGGACCCCCTTTCCCGGCCCCCCACGGCGGCGGTGGTGGCTCCTCCTTCGGCTTCCCCCTGCAGCCACACACCCGCGAGCTCCCCGGCGCCCGGCCACGTGGACCAAGCCACGTTCCCGTCCGCCTTGCTGGCCCGACTCGTGTGCTTCAAAGGGGCGGCACGCAGAGGCCGACGCAGGGCCCATCCTCCCCGGCGATCGCTCCGTACCTGGATGAGCGACCGCATGTTGGCAAAGTGGGTGTCCATGGCTCCTCCGTGGGGGAAGTTCTGGTTCATCCGCTTCATGAGCTCCGTAAAGCAGCTGAACGCCAGGGCTTCTGGGCACGGACCAGGGGAGAGAGGACCTGGAGGACTGCGGCCTGCGGTGCAGGCGGGCAGGAGCCACGCGCCTGCCGGCTCTGGGAGCACAGCTCGGGGGACGAGCCCACACCGTGCCGGCACAGATGTGGGCCTCGGCTGGTCTGGCCAGAATGAGGCCGCCCCAGGCCACGGGGGCCAACTGCCAAGGGGAATCGATTTCTCCGCGTTCCTGAAATGGGAACCGTGGCGGAAGCGGCACTTTTCTCCCCGTTCCAAGCAGCCCGGATGGCCGTGAGAAACGCCCAGGCCCAGCGCAAGCCTGAGCAGCTGCACAACCTCCCAGCCTGCAGGGGCCCCTATTCGCTGCTCCCAGCCTTCCCCAGGCGCTGTGCAGCGGCTTCCGAAGTCTCAGATGCAGCACCACGGATACTGCTGTTTCCCTCGGGAAAGGATGCCTGCAGCAGCTGGGCTGGGAGAGCCGGGGCAGGATGAGGCCCGGGCCCCTCCGCCTGCCGGTCCTGAGGGAGGCGGGGCCCAAGCCGGGGCTCCCCGGGCACCCAGGCGGCGTGGCAGGAAACACGGCGGCTCACCATCATCCAGGATGACGAGCAAAGGGGCCAGCAGGTCGCACATCCCCTGGACGTAGCCAATGTCGATGTGCTGCCAGACGTAGCTGTGGAGAGACGGGATGCAGCGGCCGACCTCGCGGGGGGGCTGCCCGGGAGGGCGTGGGGCACCCCCGGCTGCACGTGCGACCCGCCCTTCCTCATGCATGGCCCGAGACGGCCCAACTAGGGCGCAAGTTCGGCCCCGGTGGGTCGTGGGAAACCCTACGTGGCCCCACCTGGCTCCCAGCGCTCCAGGAGAACCAGGAAGCGCCCGGGAGGGCGGGGGGCGCCTGGCATCTCCAGGAAGGGCTGGGAAAAGACGTGTCTGAGCCGGGAGGGACTCGGATGCCAGCCGTGGGAAATGGATCAAAGGGAAACGCAGCGTCAGGTCCTTGGGAAGGGGCTGCCGGCCACAGGTGGGCAGGTACCTGCACATGATGTTGCGCAGCTTCTCCAAGTTGGCGGGCGAGAAGTACCAGTAGTTGCGGTCACACCTCTGCACGTCCTTCTCGATGCGATGCAGGTTGATCGTGTACGTGTCCAGAAGTTCTGGCTACAGGATCACGGAGAGGGAAAAACGAGGGCATGGCCACCTGCCCCAGGCAGTTTTCAAGGTACGCTGGGCCAGCGTGTTCCTAGATCGGACTTACACGGCTAACTTAAATCCATTTTTTAAATCATTCCTTCTCCACGGGGAATCCTTTGCCAAGACCCGCCTTCCTAACAAATGTTAAAACTCTGCGCCAAACTGATCCAGAGGCGCGCTGGGCAGCGCTGATGCCACAGCCGGAATGAACGGCGCACCCAAGGAAACAGAACGCTGTTTCCATTGCTCTGCAGAATTTTCCTTGTGCCCCGAAGCAGCTCTGCAGAGCACTGCACCCTCCTTGGCTCAACCGCTAGAGATACTGCGCAGTCGGATCTGCGGCTCCTGAATTTCGTCACCGGTGCTGCTTTTCAGGCACAGGATCCTCAGGGCAAAAGACTAATCCTGCGTCACTCTGCGTGGCCTGGCGGCTTCCACCTGGGAGGATCCACCTTCCACCTGCGACCGGGCAGGATCTCCCCCTCCCAGAACGTTCTCCTGCGTCCCTCCCTGCCCCTTTTAAACTGTGCCCATCAAACCAGAAGCCGCCCTTGCCAAAGCACCGAGACGGCTGGCCAGCGAGACGAGCCGCACCACCAAGCGTTCCGCCTGGCCTGAGCCGGCTCCCTCGCCAGGACTCACGGCACTAAAAGGAAGCGCATCCCACGGGGTGAGGGAATCCGGGAAGGTCCTCGGCAGGTCCGAGCGGGCCAAGGCCCACGGGCCCCCCGCCGCAACGCCGCCGCAGCACTCACAGAGTAGGCAACCCCCGACGAGGACACAGGCGAGACTTCGCTCACGGGCAGGTCGGCGACGGCCAGCGTGTGCGCGTCCAGCTCGGGATACAGGCTCTCCATCTCCGGCTCCTCCGAGAGGTCGTCCTCGCTGCCCGTGGAGGCCGGCTGCTGCGCCCGGTGGCCAGCCCAGCTGCCCGCCACGTCCGCCATGGGCAGGGGCGGCCCCTCCCGGTCGGGGAGCTCCGTGCCCATCAGGGCTAAGGCATCCAAGCCCCCGTCCAGGCCCTCCTGCCCCCACGGCCTGTCCCCCTCCGCACTCGCGGGGGCAGCATGGGGCACTGCAGCCTCGCTGGCCTCGGTCACGCCGTCCTCGGCGCTGAAGCCGCACTCCGGGTATACGGAGCTGGCGGAAAAGCTCTGGGACGAGGGGTGCCCGGCGCCAGGAGAGCCGCTGCCGGGGCCACTCCCCGTGGGCAGGGCGGCTGGCCCATCCCCTCCCGGCCTGGCTTCTGCTTCAGGCTGCTCCGCTTCATCCACGGACTCGAACACCTGGCCAGGGGAGGAGGCAAAGTGGAAGGGGGCTGGGGTGGGGCTGAGCCCCAGACCGGAACTGGTTGTGGGCGGGCGGGTGGACAAGCCGCCCCGTGCCAAGGCAGGCCCTCGCGCCCCTGGCCCGGAACGGCCAGGAGCTGCCTTCTCAGCGCTCCCTCCCCATCCCGCGAGTGAAGGCCTTCTGGCTGCAGGGGCCGGGGCTGCAGCTGGGCTCTCCACCCTGGAGCAGGGCCCCATCAAGGCTCAAGCCCACCTCCTCCCCCGGTCCAGATCAGAGGGGGACCCAGCCGAGCCTGGCGGCCGCTTACCTGGGTGCTGCCACTGGAGTCGCTCTGCAGCCGGGTCAGGTTTTGTCGGCCGGAACTGCCGCTCTGGGAAGACTGCCGGAGGGAAGGGCAGCCTGGTGGAGCCCCCTCTGCGGCGAGAGGCCCTGCAGCCACCGGGCGCTAACGGCCACTTACGCCTGAAGCACTCACCCATCCTAAAACTGGGTGAAGCGATCCGACAGGCCCCAGCCGCTTGGGCTGCAGCTCACATGGCCGCAGCTAGCCTGGCCGGGGGCCGAGGGTTCGGGACCCCAGCTGTCTGGTGGCCGCTCCCCCCGAGGGAAGGTTCTGGAGAGCGTTCCCCTTCCCCTGCCAGGAGCAAGCAGAGCACCGGCCGGCCCCCGAGCCCCGGCCCCCCGCCTGCGCACTCACGTCGTTGCTGAGGGTGGAGTCCCGGTGCATCATGCGCTCCATGTGGGAGTCCAGGCTGGCCCCCGAGGAGCACTTGGCCAGGGCCGCCGCGTGCGACTCCTTCTCCCGCTGCCTGACGATGGCCTCGCAGCCCAGCCACTCGGCCATGGTCTGCTCGTAGCAGGCGCGGGTCTGGCCGTCCACCTGCGGGCGAGAGACAAAAGTGGGAGACTCGTCACCTCTTCGTTCCGCGCAGGGCAGACGACAACGCGCGGCACCGGGAGGGGAGGGGAAGCGAGCTTGCGATGCTTCGCGCTCTGAACGGTGAGCCCTCCTGACTGGGCACAGCAAAGCTGTCGTCGGAGCCGGCATGTTGCACCCTCCCCGGTCGAGTGCAGCTGTGCTGCGGGAACCTCCAGGCCATGCGCACCCCCCTCTCCCCCAGGGAGGGGAACTGTGGCTGGGGAGGGGACTGTTGTGTCCCTTGGCACACTGATCTCCCCTGGCTTCAAACTGTAAGGACTGCAAAGCTGCCTGATGCCCAGGGACTCCAACACGGAGCTATGTTTAAGCGAAAGCTGAGCATGCATTTTGAACATCAAGCCACCCCAAAGCCATGCGCCTGGGACCGCCTTAGCTGGCACGCCAAGTTTCGGGGAACTAGGTTTCCCTTCCTGGTGTTAAGATGCCGACAGACAGACAGACAGACAGACAGACAGACAGACAGACAAGCGCATCCACATTCACGACTGCTAGAGTGGAAGACGAGTGGCCCAAGGATCGGAGGCCGCCCCAGGCGGCGCGAGAGGAGCCCCAGGCCCGTGGGTGCCGCAGGGGACGGGCCGCAGCCGTCCCCTGGGGTGCGAGGCTCTGGAGGGTGCTCACCTCTTTCCTCTCAGCTTCTGACATCCCAAACCGATAGTGTCCCAAGAGGAACGGCCAGACAGACTTCCGGATCTCAGGCTGGACCCCTCCAAAGTAGACCAGTCGCAGGAGCTCCTTCTCCTCGTAGCTCTGTGGAGAAAGCGTGCTCAGCATTCCCGGCCCCCTGCCGGATTTCGCTGCTGGTCCCAGGCGCCCTCCGGAGGTGCAGGATTGCGGCTCTCGTCATCCCCAGCCAGCACGCCGGGCTGCGGGCTGGGAGGGCTGCAGTGGCTGCTCCGCCAGGGCCAGGGCTGGACCGGGGCGGGGGCGGGGGGGGCCTGCATGAGCCGAGGGAGGGCGGCAGCCCCGCACCGTGTGGTCCAGAAGGAACTTCTCCCAGGTCTCCGCAGTCAGCCCCCCGCTGGCGTCGCAGGGCACGTCGGGGGACACGATGTCGTGGTTCACCAGCGCCGAGAGGTGCGTCCGCACGGTGGAGAGGTGCCGGCAGTAGGCCAGCCCTGTGGGGAGGGGAGCAGAGCGCAGGAGAGTCGCCACGAGCCCCGCCGGACGCTTGCCGCTTCGCTTCCGGAGGACCTGCCGCCCGCCACAGGAGGGCCTGAGCTGGCCTCCCCAACCCGGTGCCCTGCGGGTGCTCTGGACCGCGTTCCCCTCTCCCAGCCAGCCTGGCCGCACCGACCCTCCAGCCAGCGCCCGCCGGCCTCTCTGGGCCACCGGACCCGGCCTGGCGCAGCCTCGAGGGCATGGGACTCACAGCCATAAAATGCCCGGGAGAGGATCTGGTACTTCATGTTGTCGCAGAGCAGCTTCAACGGAGCTCTGCGGAGAGAGAGGGAGAGCTGGCTGCCAGGCCCGGGACCCCTTCCTTTAGCCCCCCCGCCCCCCCTTTCCCCAGGCGGGATACCCCACCTGGAGGGGGGACTCAGGAGAGCAGCGAAAGCGAAGGCCTGGCCTCCTTTTTCCAGAGAGAGCATGGACTGGAAGGCCCATCTTCCCCCATGGCACACCCCCGTTCCTTCCGCCTCTGGCTTACTCTTTCCGGTCAGGTGGGCCGTGCAGGTTTGCACTCCACCATCCGCCACCATAAAAACAACCCCCCACCAGCCCCTTGTCTTGCTCGACCCCAAAGCGAAAAGCGGCACTGCTTCTGCTAATGAAGAACCGGGGCACCTGCGGGACTCCCTCCCAGCCGGTGCAGGAGCGGCGCAGGGGCACGTGGCCCCCTTGGTTTGTTGCTGCAAGCCCCGGCCCGGCCCAAGGCCAGCCCCCCACACCTTTCGTGGCTGCAGCCACTGGAAGGGCCGCTTTCCGTGGAGCCGCTCTGGGAGCAGGAGGAGCAGGAGGACTGGCGGGTGCTCGGCTGCCACACTGGGGGGAGGACGCCTCCTGGCGCGTCGACGAGGTCCTGCGGCACTGCAAGGGTGGGGGGGGGGCAAGCATGCACGCGCATTAAAGTCGGCTCCGTGGCAAGCAAGCGGCTCGTTCCGGGGCGAGAGAGAGAAGGCAGGCAAAGCCCCCCGGGAAGACCAAGAAGGCCCGGATCAGCACCCGGATCACAGCGAGGTTTCTAGATCAAGAAGGGAAGGGAAGCGCCATCCGAGGGGGGCCGCCCCCGGGCCCCCGGGAAACTCGGCTGCCGTCCTTTGAAGCCAGCCAAGTTCCTCCGGTTGCTTCAGCTGCTGCTTGCTGCCTCCTGGACCTCCGGACAAATGCAGGACGGGCTAAATTCAGGAGGAGCAAACCAAAACCCACGGGCAAAACCCCCCGCCGTCCTTTTACTGTCCCAGGAGCCTTTGACTCCCCGAGCCTTTCAGCTATCCATTGTGACTTTTATTGCAAAATCGTCCTGAGACGATTTGGTAAGAGGACGGTATAGAAACGTTTTAAAAAACAAACAATTAGCAATGATTGCAAGTTCCTGAAGAGTATGCTCAGATGTATGTTAATTTAAAAACCCTCTTTCCCTGCTGTGTTTTCCTTTTGGTTTATTCACTGCAACTGTTTATTCTCTTGTGCATTTTAAAAGCCTTGTGAAGAACCGGCAAGTGTAACGGTTAGGAAATGCACAGCGGCCCACGCGGCGGCCGACGCCTGCTCCTCCGCGCCTCGTGGCGAGCTCCCCGGGGTCTCGCTGGAGGCCCTCGGTGGGCCCAGGCGGGGTGGGCACTGCAGAGCGAAAGGGCCGGGCGGGTCAAGCTGGCCGCCCTCCTCCGGTCAACACACGGCGTGCCGACTCGGCACTGAGCGGCAATCCTCCAGCCGGCTGAAGCATCCCCCTTGGAATAACACCGCCGCTCCCAAGGGCTGGGAGGCGAGCATCTCGTGGCTCACACCCAGGAGCGCCGCAGCTCAGGCGAGCAAGCGGCAAGGCAGGGCCCCGCACAGGAAGGAGCTGCCCCATTCCTGCCAGGCGAGGGGCCGGCAGGGCCCACGTTCTTGAACAGGGGGCGGTGGAGGAGTTCAGGGACCCCGAACTGCGGGGGGCGGGGGAAGCACTTGATTCGAATCACAGCAGGAAGGAAGCGTGCCGAGGCGGTGGCTCCGTGGGCAACGGCATTTGTGCAACCTGAGAGAGGCCGGCCGGTTCAGCCGCGCGGGAGCCTGCGTGCGTTTGTTTGTTAAACAGAGTCACTCTTAAAACTGAAGGTGCCAAGGAAGCAGTTGCTCCGTGGGAGAAAATGTGTGTCCACGGCGCTTCCCAGTGTTTCTGCGCTTGATTGCTGCTTTGGATTTTGCCGTGCGTCACCTCCAGCCCCACGTGGTGGGCGCCCGGCAAAACAAAATTGAGCGGGGGCCGGATAGGTGCCGGCACGGAGATCTCCCGGGACTCCGATCGCTGGCCAGCCGCCCCAGCGAACCGGGTGCGGGGCTGCCGGGCTCGGAAGGGCTGGCTCCTTTCGGCACACGTCTTCACCCCATTGGCAGCAGGGTCAGCCTAAGCAGTGCCCCCCTCTCCCCCCCGCCCCCGGCCAGCCTTCACACAGGAGGGGCTGCCTCTCGGGAGCCAGCGCCTGCTGCAACCGTCAGAATGTACAAATGCCGACACAAAGCCGAGCCGCAGAGCCGAGCCGAGCCAAAGCGCCCCCAGTGCCCCGGCGGCAACATTACGGAGGTGCTGCCTGCCCCCCGGTGTGGCAGGCAGGGCGAGGGCCGCCTTGGGGAGACTCGGAGCCTGCGTGGGGATCACCACGACTTTGCCGGGGGTCCAGGTCGTCCGGGCCTTCTCTCCCCGGGGGGCGCCGGGAGAAGCGCGGGGAAGACAAGACGAGCTGCTAAGGACAACTAGAGGAGTGGAAAGGGGGGAAAGGCACAGCGTGAGGATGGACCCTGCCCAAGCGCCGCCTCAGGAGGGTCCTGCAGCGGGAAGCGCGCGACGGAGAAGCACAGCCTCCGTCTAACCAAACACTCTTCCTTTCCTGCAATATTTTAAGGGATGGGTGGGAACTGAGCTGGCTTGGCTGGCTGGCTCCCCATGTGCAAATACAGAATTTAACTCGAGAGAAAAACTCAGTAAAACAAATCAGAATTGGGGTAAACAAGCAGGACGTTCTTCTCTTTTTCCTTTGCTGCCCTCACTTCCCAGTTCAACTGTAAGCTCCAGGGAGCCAAGCTCTCCTTCCTCTCCTTCCTTCCTTCCTTCCTTCCTTCCTTCCTTCCTTCCTTCCTTCCTTCCTTCCTTCCTCCCTCTTTCTGTCTTTCTGTCTTTCTTTCCTGTTTTGCTGGTTTCTGTGAGAGCTGCAGGCAGGGGTGGTGCTGAGCGGAGAATGAACAAAGCATTTGGAAGGCCCACTGAGATCCGTTTCCGCATCGTTTTATTTGCCAAAAATTATACGGGCAACACCCTGCCCCTCTCACACCCAGGAAGAAGTGGGCCTTCTGTCACATCGGAGAATCTATGCTTCCAGCCTTCTCCGCAAGAGAGCGACTCTCCACGGTCCCCAACAGAAAAACCTCCTTCCCTGGTTGGAACATACGACACAAGTGCCGAAGCGGGGCCCAGGGCCATCTCCCCCCACCCTGCTCTTCCCTTCACGTGCGAGACAAGCCCCGCGAGTTTTTATCATCCGTGCTTTGGGAAATGTGTCTCTCCTCACTTACTTATTCATGCCACTTTTAATTCAGTTGTCCTCCACCCGGGACTCTCCAGAGTTTGGTCTTTCTTGGTGCAGAATTTTAACAGGCCATTTTATTGGGACAGAATTTTAATAGGACATATGAATGGCAACACTCTGTTTCCATAATGCACAGTTAAACAAAAAGCTACCCTGAGGAAGGCATCGAGCGAGTCTCTCTGAGCGAGAGCGCGAACTCACCAAACTCCAGCTGCGTGCCGGGATAGAGGATCCTGAAGACGTAGTCCGTCGCCTCGTCGTCCTCCTTGTCCGAGACGGACTCCGAGGTCCCCTGCGGGGTTCTCTTCTTCAGCTTTGGGAACACCTTCCCCTTCAGGAAGCGAAACGACAAGGAACGGCTTATCTTCAGCTCGAGAGTCACGGGGCTCCTTCCCCTCGGCATGACAGCCGTGACATGGCGCCCCAAATCACAACGGGGTTTCGAGACTTACGACACTCATTTAATTTCTTCAGAAGAGCTGATGCAACTGAACTTTTTAAAAAGCATTATGGGTGGGACTGCATGGGCTCAGGCCGCTTTCCCCATCCTGGGACCCTCCGGGAGGGGAGCACTTTTGGGGAGCACCGCCCGTCACACGTGGCCAGCACGGCCCTTCGACCGACTGAGGACTCCGATCCCCGTGGCTCTGCATGAAGTGCGGTTTAAACACGCACCCGGGGAAGATGCCTGCACCAAATTGTCCCCGGTCCATCCAGGGCGCCTGGCAGCATCTGCAGGGAGCTTTCCCAGAGTTCCCAAGGACGGAACCGGGCAACCTGAAGCAGCTGCTCTGCGGGCCCCTCGTGAACGGGGGCATCCCCGAAAGGGCCCGTTTCACTCAAGCGCTCGTGGGCACGATGGCGGCGGGGAGCAATACAACGTGGCCGTTCCGCCTCCCCCTGAGCGTTGCTCTGCCGTGAAACGAGCGGCAACGGCATCCAGCACCCCAGCAGGGACCAAGGTCACCACTCCAGGCTCCGGAATCGCGCTCACCTTCCCCCGCTGCGACCAGAGCGGCGGGTCCAGCTGGCCGTGGGGCAGCAGCCCGTTCTCCAGGCAGGAGAGGAACTGCAGGAGATGCCCCCCCCTGGGGAAGTGCAGCGGCGGGCGCTGGATGCCGTCTTGGCTCACCAGGACAACTGTGCCCCCGCTGTCCACTGTTGGCGGGGAGGAGGAGACACGGATGGCGAGAGGGATGAGAGGCACGTTCCGGCAAAGAACCCCCCCGCCCCCATCCCCGGCCCCCACACGGGCCGAACGCCTTCTGCCAGGCAGCTCCACCAAAGAGCCCGAGCAGAGCCGCCCAGAGGGGGGGAGGCGGCGCCTGGGCATCAGGCGGCGTCCTAAGAGGCTGCTTTCTTCCGGACAACGGGGGCTGGAACCGTGCGCTCTTTGCGGGGAGGGGCCCGGGCTTCGTGGGGCTGCTGGAGGGGCTGTGAGGCCCGGGTGGCTTGGCGGAGCTCTTACCCTGCTGGTGGCAGTGCAGGTAGACGATCTCCTCCAGGCGGATGGTCATGGCGTAGTCCCAGTAGACGCTGCGAGAGGAGGGAACGGCCGGCGGGGTCAGCATCACCCCGCAGCCCTGCCCTGCCCTGCCCAGCTCCCCAGGGGCTGCCCTGCTTCGGCTGAGCGCCACCCAAAGGACAGTGTGGAGGCTGCGGAGGCGCGACTGCAGGGGGTGGCTGCAACCGAAGCGTCGTTATTTGTTTTTCGGCGTCAGGCTAAGATCCTTTTATTCAAACAATATTTTAACAACGTATAATATTTATAGGTTTTAATTGTGCAGCCAGGGTGTTTCCGGGTTTTAACTAAATTTGTATTATATTTATTTATTTGTGTGAGCCGTCCCGAGGCTATGTAGCAAGGGGACGGCATACAAAAACGCTAAATAATACATTAATAAATAAATAATTAAACAAAGCGCCTGGAGGCATCCAGGGAGGGCCACGCGTACTCCGGCCCGGCCTACCTTTTCTCGTAGTCCAGGTCCCCCACAGAGCTGTTCATCAGCTGGTTCGGGGTCCACTTGAGCGTCATGATGTCGGCCGTCTGGTGAAGGGACAGGTAGCCTGGAATTGCCTCCATATCATCTCGCTGGGAAGAGAGAAGAAACGCCGGAAGGGAGTCACTTCCTCCCTGTCCGCAGCTGGGAACATTCCCAGCCATTTGCAAATCTCTTTCAATGACTAACTTTGTTTCTGGTCCTCATGAGGGAGAAGGTAGACTTGAAAACCCGCGATTGTTCAGGAGCCCAGAAAACTACGGGGTCCAGTTGGCAGAGAGGCAGAGGGAAGAGGCCCGCCGGCTTTCCACCGGTTCCCTCGCGTCTCCTCGCAGCCGGCGGAAGGGCAAGGCACGCATTGCTGCGCAGGACAAGCGCTTAATACATCCGGCGGGGCTAAACCCGCTCTCAGCTCTCGCTCCGGCTGCCTCTTGCACCGCGCGGCGGCCCCCCGGCCAGGCGGCTACTCACGGGCTGCACCAGGACGTTATTCTTGCCATACAGGAGGGTGGTCCTGGCGTTCTGGTGCAGCGACTCGACGTAGTCTCGGGCCGAGAGGGAGGGCCGGTCATCCATGCTGCCGCTTGAGTGCCGCTTCTGAATCTGTGGGAAGCCCGCGGGGAAAGGGTGAGCGCAGCCCCTTGCGGGCCACGGCGCGGTGCCCCCGCCGCTTGGGGGAGCGCGAGCGGCCTCGGCCCCCCGGCGGAGGAAGACCCAGGCCCAAATCCCACCTCTTCAGGGCATGCTGTGGGCCGGGGCGCCCCGCAGGGTCCCAGGCTGGGCCTTTCCTACCGGTGGGCTTGTCGAGGCCACGGAGCAGCAGCCCAGAACCCCAGGAAGGGCGAGGCCTCGAGGGGCCGGCTTCTCGGGGCCACACCGCAGCGCGCCGGGGGCGGAGGGCCGCCCAGCCGCGCACGGCACAGCGGGAACAAGCTCCCCTCGCCCGGGCCCCCCGGCACCTACGCAGAGCGCCGGGCGCTTGGTGGGCGAGTCCTGCCGGCAGTGCGAGCTGTGGATGCGATGCCTCTGGACGAGCTCGTCGGCCGAGGGGTCAGTCCAGAAGTGGTCCGCGGTCTTCATCTTGGTGTACTCCAGCGCGCACGGCCCGACTGCGGGAGGCAGAGCGGCAGGAGGAGGGAGGGAGGGGGCAGGCTCCAAAGACGGGCCCGTCCGGACGGTCCGTGGCCGCCGCGGCCAGCCCGCACAAGCACACCGCGAGGCAGGCCGCCCGGGACGCCCGCGGCAGGGGAAACCTCCCGGAGCAAGCCAGGACCCCTGCGGCCGCCCCCGCCCAGCCCAGCCCAGCCCTCGAAGCAGCGGGGCCGCGCCTGGGGGCGGCCGGCCCCTCTCCCAGCTGTTCCCCACTGAAGCCCCACGAAGGGCGGAGGGCCAGAGACAAGCGAACTGCCCCCCCACCGAAGGACTTGTGGGGACCACCGACGGCCTCGGTGACGCCAACGTCACTCAGGTCACCCTGCTCTGGGGCGGACTGGGGCCCCGGGCGGCAGCACAGCCGCCTGTCGCCACCCTTCCGCGGTCGGTGGGAGACGCGCGCAGCCAGCACGGAGCGAAGGCGGCCTCTTGCGGAACTGCCTGCGGTGCCCCGCCGGGACCCTGGATCGGGCAAGGCCTGCCTCGCGACGGCCGGGCACCCCACACGACGGGGCCTCTGCACCCTTGCCCGGCCGGCCACAGGCGGCCTCGAGGCCTGGCCTGGGAAAGCCCTTCGCCCACGACGCGCCTTACCCAGCAAGGAGGCGAGGATCGGGCCGTCGACTGGGTCCATGAGCAGCGCTTCCTTCTCGTAGTACTTGCTGCGTGGGAGAGAAAGCACGGAGCGCTGGACAGGACTGAGGGAAGCGAGGAACGGGAAGGAAGCGGCTCTGCCCCAGTATTGGCTCGATCGTCTCCTCTTAGGCAGAAGGTGCACCCGGGTCTGTCCTCGCCTGCCCCTCGCAGCCCGTTGCCCCGCTCTGACCTTGCTGCTCTCCCTCTCTCCCTCTGCTCCCCGCCTGCTTTTCTTTCGCTCCACAGCTGCGGAGGCCAGCGTACGAATAGCCGGATACCGTAAAGAGCAGCCCTGGGGCTGGACAAGACCAAAGGCCTGGCCATTCCGGCTCTCTTCCCCACAGGGGAATCCGGCATCTTGGTCCCCGGAGTGGAAAGTCCCCAAGAGGCACACGAGGGCCACGGCCCCTCCCGCACATCCTCCCCAGCCACGGGTGGGCCCAGGCCCGCTGCTCGCGACCCTGAAGGGATCCAGGTGCCACGGACAGCCTCCTCCTGCTCTGCGAGCCCCTCCACCCCACAGCCGTCCCTGCGGTCACAGGAGCGAGTCCCACGCCTGAGCGAGGTGTGGGGCGAGGAGGCCCCTCCCTGCTCCGTCTGGAGGGGCTCGCCTTCAGCCCCCTCCCCACACGCGGCCCCCTCTCTCCAGCACCCCCATCGCTGGCGCCTCTGAGGCCGCGTGGACCAGGGCTCCGCATGAGCCGCGTCAGGCCATTTAATCACACACTGGAGATTCTGAGCATGGCTCAGTCTGGGCCGCCTTATCTCCGTCTGCGGGCGGAGGAGCTGGAAGGAAAAGCCATATTAAAATCTGCGGTTTGCAAAAGCGAGTGAGGTTATTACTTCTCACCAGCTTCCTGGGCCTGAATTACTGCATTTGGATTCAGCTGCCGCAGGGCCTGCCTTTTATTCTGGCCCACAAGATGCTGAACTCCGGCAGACGCAGTGTTGATAAGGCCAGGGAAAAAGCTTTGCTCCTCTGTTGGGGTGGCTCATGAGCCCACAAGAAGAGCTGGATCACTGCTTGGCTAGTAGAAAGCAGCCTCTCCGACGGCCGCTTCTTTATCGGGCGTTCTTAATCGCTTTTCTGACATCAGCACTCTCGATGGCAGAAAAGCCAATTAAGAGAGAACAACATGGTTCGTTAAAAGCAAGGAAACCCATTTTGAAGCCGAAGTCCTCGCAAAAAAAGCAGTTTTCGCTGTCTGTCTAACCCACTGGGGATGGACCCAACCTAACCTCCGTCCCCAAGGAGGGCTGCAGTCAGGGTTCTGCTAGAGAAAAGGCCCTGCTTTGAGCCCCTCCACGGAAGGCCACAAACTACAGGCAAGGCTCCGGTGGAAAGAGGCGGACATCTCCGTATTCCGACCCAAGCTGGTCAGGTTTGGAACAGTTTGGGGGCACCTGCTGATCCAGCCCCACAAGCGCAACAGATCTGAGTGCTTAATGCACCAACCATTTAGGGCGGGCCCTTATCCCATGCCCCACGGAGCCTCTTCTCCGTTTTGCTTGTGTGAGGAAGAGCCTCATTTAGATGTGCCCTTTCCCAAGGTTCTGCTTTCCCCATCTGTTTGTGGCGTTACATAACAGCAAAGAGGCGCTGCAGTGCGGTTTGCCTTGCCTTGAAAATCTAACGCCACATTATCCTCCCTCTAAACTGGCTGCAACAACGGCTGTGAAAGGGGGACAGGCCCCAGACAGCGTGCCGATGACCCCCGCCTTCTGCGTGTGAAGTGCTCCATCGAGGCCTCAGGCGGAGAAGCCCTGTGGCCCCCCAGCCGGCCGAGCGTGGGCAAAGGTGCGGAGGCTGCCTTTACCTGCTGTTCTCCACCAGGTAGTGCACTAGCTTGTCCAGGACCTTCTCAAACAGGGCTGTCCGGATCCAAAGGTGCTTGATGGCCTGCGGGGACAGGTTGGGGAGCTTCTGGGCTTTGCGGGTGCTCTCTGTGGCACCCCCTCCCTGGTTTCGCCTTCCGAGAGACAAGGAAAAGGAAACTAGCCCACGTCCACCAGGACCCGAGGCGTAACAGACTCCCCCAGGCGGGCCCTCTGCGCCTGAGCACAGCGCCCACGCCAGCCACCCCCGTCCTGCTCCGACGCGCTCGGAGAAGCATTCCACCCTGGCCAAAACTGTCTGAAAGGAAGATCCCAGAAACAGGCTGAGCGCCCCGAAATCACCCGCCTGCTCTTTGTTCTATTGCAGGCCGCAGCAACTCGGTCCTCCACGCCCACCAAGACCCGGGCCAGAACACTTGGCTCTTCCGAGCGGGTGCCCGCCGGATTCTTCTGCGGCTTTCGTGAGCTCTAGTACTCGTAAAGAGCATCCAGCTGCACCGGCAGAGGTGTGGCAACGCCCGGAAAGAGAAGCGCTGTCTGGAGGATTTATGATGTGGGATTTTATTGACTGCTTGCAGCACAGCGGGGGGTCACAGACCCCGTGAAGGCTTGAACTCCCTGCTGAGCGGCGCCTGGGCCGAGACCGCGCCCCGGCTCGCACTGTGGCGACTCACCCGCTCTCGATGAGCTGCTCCAGACTCTGCACCCTCCGGCAAAGCTCTTCGGCAGGCGGGAAGCTTTTCGCCACCTTCACGAACAGGGCCGCGATCTTGTTGCTGCGCAGGAAGCCGGCTGCTCGGCGCTTCAGGCCGTGGAGGACGCAGGCTTCGACGGCCGCTGGGGAGTGGGAGCCGGGAGGGGGAGAGGAGGCGTCACACGGCATGGCCCCTCCCTCTTGGCGAGCGGGAACGGCCGGGACCCCGGCCACCCACACTCCGCCGCCGGGCCTGTGGGGCAGGACAGGCACGTGGGGCGGCCCCTTCCTTGCCTGTGCACAGCATGGGGACTGCCTTGCCTCCCGGGGGCACGGCCAGCGGCAGGCCGACCCCACCAGGCCGGTGGGCAGCAGCCGGCCTCCAGCGAGATGCCGCTCCCTCCGCCGGCCGGCCGAGGGCCTGTGCCCGGCCACCCGAGCTCTCGCTGGGAGCAGGACGGCTCGCGGCTGGGGGGACGCCCTCCGGACACGTCCCCGTGCCGCAGCGGGCGGCTACAGGCTCCCCGAAGAGCATCCTCGCGCCTGCGATGCCACTCTGGCCTCCCTGCCTCCATGAATTTACAAATTTACGCCTTGACGAAGGCCCACCGTTCGGCCCCAGCACGACAGGCAAGGGGAGCCGAGTGGGAAAACCGGAGCTGGGAGCAGCCAGGCCGCTTACCACAGAAGGAGATGATGTGGCTGCTGTCCTCGTGCACAAACTTCCTCGTGACAGCTTCTTCCATGATTTGCTTCACCTGCAAAATGGTCCCGGTAAGCAAGAGAGCCGACCCGGCACGGCGGGGGACAGCACTCCCTTTGGGGCGGCTCCTCGAGGGTAAGGGCCTGCCCAGGAGCGGGCGCCTGGGCTGCTTCCCGCGCTCCCGGCCAGGGAGTGGGCTCGGCATTGGCCCGGCCAGCCCCCCTGCAAGGGCAACGGGCCGGCCGGCCTCCCCCGGGGGGGCAGGGTCCTTTGTGTCCCGGAGCAGCACTGGGCTGAAGGAGCCCTCGGAGGCCCCCCTGGCCCAGGCCAACGCAGGCACGGCATCGAGAGCCCTGCTGCATTGAAACCAGCTGCGGGCGGGGCGGGGGAAACGGCTCAGAGCGCTGCGGATGGATGAATCCCAGGAGAGCCAGCGGCGGTTGGCCTCGAGGGATCTGCATCGCGGGGAAATCCATTTGGGAGTCTGCGCAAACCCACTCCTTCAGATGCCGCAGGGCAAACCGTGTGACTCGGGCCCGAAAAGGCACGTGGCTGGGGAGCCCCGACACCGGGTGGGCGGAGGACAGGGGCCACCCCCACTGCAGAGTCTCCCCTGCACTGCCCAGACTTCGCTCCCCCGAGGCAGGCCTGCCGGGTCTCCTGCTTCCGCCAGCGGGAGGAAAAGGTGGGATGCAGCACAGAAGGGAAGGCTGCAGGGCGAATGTGACGGACGGAGAAGGGCAAAGCATCCGAATGGCCCCTCCCCGCCACTAATTAGCGTTCTGAAAGAAATCCACCCGTGAAGGAGCAATAATTTATCATTTCCCCCGTAATGTTCACCCAGCGCCTCCTCCTCATGGGGTGGGTGCGCATGGAGGCTTGTGCCTGCACTCGAGGATTTTAAAATAACTCGACCTGATTATGACAGGAACGAGGCAGGCAGCTGCACCCGGGCCTAGCGGAGACCGGGACTGCCCAGGCGTCTGTCCAATATTTGGGGCTGCAGCCCCTCGTTCCCAGCCTGGGAGCAGCACCAGGTTCTGGGGGGCCGGAGCCACAAATATCAGCACAGACAGCTTTCAAAAACACCTACGCGGGGCCAAGAGGAAGACCCTTCAAGCCCTAGGGGATCACGGGGCTGCGGGAGGTGGCTGGGCCTGGCCGGGCACAGCAGGAGGCCTCAGGGGCCCAGCGCCGCTCTGCTCTCCGTCCCCAGCCAGTCTCCCAAGGCGAGGCCTGCTGCGGCTGAGCGTGCCGGCCAGAGGAAGCGTGGACACCCGGCCCAAGCTGTTCTGGCAGTTCCCGGCCGTGGTGCTGCCCGTTGCCGCTGCCTTCTCCCCACGCGCCGGAGCACCCACAGCCGCCCCTGCTCCTCCAGGAGAAAGGAGCCCCGCAGCCGCCACGCCAGCAGCTGAGCAACAGCGCCGATGACTAGGCCTGCCCGGCGAGTAATTGCTCTCCGCTCGCTTCTGCCGCCTCACCTGCCAGCTGCCCCCACCCCACCGCAGGCCCGTGATGGCAGTCAGGCGAGGGTCCTTTGTGGCAGCCCCGCCACCCATTGTCACATTGCCCCTGCCCCCTCAGTAGCCAGAGAAGCCAGAAATCCACGGCCACCTGGCCCCTGTTCTGCAGGGGAGGCAATGTGGGGGGGGGGGTCCACCCAGGAACAGCTAGCGAGGCTGCAGCTCAGCCTCAGAAGGGAGTGACGGCGGGCTGGATGTGTGCAGAGCCTCTCCCGGGGCACAAATTAGTCACCCTGGCACTCCGCCTCCCTCCGAGGTCGGGGAGCCAACAGTCCAGGCAGCACCCCCACCCTGGGCCCACCGGGCCTCTGGCTGCACACCTGGCTGGAGGACAGCCGAACCTTCACCAAGCAAGCCGGTTTAGTTTCCGCGGAGCTTAGTTCGGCCTCCCAGGACAAAGCAAGGTGCACCACTGCACCCGACTGCCCTCCCTCAGGGGCAGGCGGATGGATGCCAGGGCCCACTTTAAGAAGCAATTCCCCGGCTGCAGCAGCCCCAGTCCTGGCAAACAGGTTCCACCTCATTTCCCAGCCGGTCCTGCCACTGGAGGAACCCAACTGTCAAGACAGAGGCCTGGGCCAGGCTGCCCGACTGTTCTCTGACTCACCCAGCCGTCAAGGCTTGGCCACTCCTGCGACATGGATCCAATCCCGGGGAAGCCGGCAGCAGCCGAGAGCGCTGCGCCGCCCCCCCCCCCCCGGCTGCCACCTCGTGCCGCCTGCCCAGGAAGGCAAACCCCTTCAGGGAGATCACCTCTAGCAGGGCAGCCTGGCCTTGGCTCCGCTCGCTCCGTCACACGCTCTTCCACTTTCCCTTTGCACCTCGCACTTCCATGGGTGCAAGCCAGGATTGTTTCTGGTTTGCACTTTTGCCATTCCGCTAATCTCTCTCGCACGCCAAGGCACACGCCCTCCCAGCGCGTCCATCCCTGCGCTCCCAGCAACCTGGGATTCCAGTATCCCACACGGGCAAGTGAGAAGCCACCTGCACAAAGGAATGGCAACCTCCTATTTTGACATGTTTAAGGACACGGCCAGCGTTGTTCCGGGGCGTTCAGTCACTGTTTGCGCTGGGTCACAGAGATAGCGACGCAGCCGAGACATGTGACGGCTGTTTCAACAGCGGGCAGCATTTCTCTGCCGCCAGTGCCACCTTCCCTTAAAAGAGGCGATTAACAACCCCGGCATCCTTGTTTTCGACAAGTTTCCCCAGCAGTTAAATATCACGGACAGTGAGGGGAAAGACCTCTGGATTCTCAGGCACCAGCCTTTTTCAGGAACAGGTTGCACCCCATGACACACCTCCAGGGATTAAGCAGCTGTGACGCTGCTGCGGACTTTCCCAGGGCAGCCTCCGGCTGACTCCATGGTCACTCCTGGCTTCCCGAAGCGGAAGGTAGTCCAAGGGGAAGCCTTCGAGAGGGTCTGATCTACCAAGGAGAAGAGGGAGCCACGGGGAGCTGAGTTTTGGTCAGGCAGGCCCTGCTGCGGGGTGCAGAGAGGAAGCAGGCACTCGGAAGCCGGGGTGCCCAGTCTCCCTCTGAAACCACACGCGGTTTCCTTCATGCCAACCAGGTACAAAACGCAAGGCCTCCGTCTCCCTGAAAGGCCGGATTCTTTCTGCCAAGCCGCTTTTCTGCAGGCTCTGCGCCAGTCGGTGGAGTAGGACCCACAACTTGTGGGCCCCAAAGGGCTACCAGTGCCCAGGAGCCTCGGCTCTGCTGGGATTCCAGTGGTGGCTGCTGCAGGGACCAGAGCTCCACACCAGCGCCCAGGCAGGCCATCTGCAGCCCAGCCTGGAAAGGTAAACGCTTCCTTTCTCAGTGTAGCCAACACCCACCTAAAACGCAGCTGTTCGGTTCACGGAAGTGGCAGTGTTTCCTCCACTGCAGAACCAGAACTTCTGAGTCGGGCCAGAGGCCACCTTGCCTCCTAGAGCACTCACGCAATCCCTGAAGCGCCTGCTGGCCGTCCTTTCTGGGGAGCACCGAATCAACTTACTAAACAAAACACGACTGCCAGAGCCCTACGAAGGAGTGGCTTTGCACAGAATTTTTCTTCCGCCGCATGTCTGCGCCAGCTGAGTTCACACAAGCTGGCCACTCTTAAAAAAAAAAAAAATCCAGGGGGAAGGCCGGCATCCAAACCGAGTTGGCCCAAGGAGATGCTCCAAGCTCCAGCTGGCCCGATGTCACCTCGGAAGCGCCTGTGTGCACAGGACTTCTCGTCTCCGTGTTTCCAGGCTGCTCCCACCTAACCGGAAAACATTCCTTTTGCACACCTGGGAACGGCAATTTGCACACGGCTTGTAGCGTGCAACAGTCTGGAAGGCACGTTCAAACCACACCGCACCACTCCGCCCGCCCGCGCGTGTGGACGCAGGCAAAGCAGTGACGCCGCGCTGACGCAGAGCCCCCAGTCCCATCCCCTCCGACTGCTGTGCTCACCGACGCAACGAAGGAAGCCGCGAGAGCTCTGGAGCCTGGTGCAGGATTTGTCCGGGAGGCGGCCGTTTCCATGGAAACAGAGCAATGCTATCGACTCGAGAGGATGAGCTCGCACAGCTGGGCGAGGACGAGGACGGGAAGCGGCTTGCGACCGACCCGCGCAGAGGCTGCAGCCAGCCGGGAGGGACGGGAGCGAGCGGTTTGCTGTGATGTCGTCTCCCCAAAGGCCCCACTTTCATCTTCAGAGAGAGACTCGCTCCAGAGGCGGTCTTCCTCGGCCCACGCACTGTGGCTGGAATTGCTGAAGCCTTTCCCACCCTGGCCATGCAGCTTCAAACAGGGGGCACCCTTCCGAACTGAGTGCGGCTCTTTGTCATGGTAATTCGAGGCAGGCAGCTTCATGCCACGATTTGCCACCAGGGCCCTTTCGTCTCTGCTTCCGCCCTCGGACACCCGGTCGCTCCAAACCAAAGAGCCCCTTGCAGGCTGGGTCATCAGACGCCTCCGCGGCACAGCTTCACACTGGCCTGTAGCTCACGACAGGATCCGGCCCCTTGCGGGGGAACAAGAGCACTGGCGCAGTCTAAGCAGGCCTTGCCCACCCTGGGAGCTCTCCAGCTGCGCTAAGCAGCTCCCATCGGCACCGGCTGAAAATGATGGGAGTCGTAGTCCAACACGGCTGCAGGGCAGCAGGCTGGGGAAGGTCCACGTGATCTAAACCTGCTCTGCCGATGCAGGATGTATGTATGTGGCCCGCACTCACCCACTTAGAGAAATGCGCTGCTTGTATGCGCTTCAGTCCCGTCATTCATGGATTCAAATTTGTGTTTGGATGAAAACAAGGCTTACGAGAAGGCAGCCACTGGCAGATTTTCCGCAGCTTCATGGGTAGTCAGACCTTCCTCTTCAGTCCAATATTCCCCCTTTAGGCTGCTGCTCTAGCGATGGGTTCCATCGCTGGCTTCTTAATGTTTTGAATTTTCGGTTGATTTTACTGGTTAGGATCACACCAGTGGGATACTTGTGGTGTTTCCTGTTTTGGTTTGCTTGGCTATTTTGTTGTTGTTCTTTGGTTTTGTA